GTGCAGCGAGTGTGTAGTGTGGAAGAATGGAGCATATCAGATATCTGAGAAACCATGTTGAGCTTTAGGGCTCGGTTATGGTGGCAACCCCAAACTATTTGAGGAAAAGCCCTATTGTTGTGCAAGGGCCAAGTAAACCATATCCCAAAAATGGAACTATTTGGCAACGTCACCAAATATGTTAATTGGATAAACCAAAGCAAAACATAAGCCTTGAGACATTATCTAACAGTAGTAAAAGTAGATCAAAGACCCCTTCCCTTGAACGAGTTCATCTGAGGTCATGCTAACCGGCGCCTCATTCTTCAGCTCATAACTTAAGCATCAAAGCTGTGTTTGTGTGAGAGAGAGTGCATGACTATTTGTGGCCCAGAATACGAGACCCGTCTCTCCAAGGTGCCATCACTCTGCTCCTGTCAGTCTCAGCGCTCTGAGGTCCTACTGCTGCACCTCAGCTCTCTTGCGGTCAGTGACCTCTGATCTCCGCCCCTGGCCCCTCCAGGCCCCTTCAGGCACCTCCAGCCTCCTCCAGGCCCCTCAAGGCCCATCAGGCCCATCAGATGGATCTGTGCCTTGCAGGGATCAGAGAACCTGGGATACATGGAAATGCTATTCATGGCCGTTTCCACAGATTCCTCTCGAGTGGCTGTGCTCCACATATTGAAAGAAAAAGAAGAATATCACGGCTGACTTGCATTTTCATCACAGAGCGAGAGGGGAAAGTAAGGGAAGGAAAGAATGATTTGTATGCAATTTAAACCCCATATACTCTAATTTAGTGATGGCAGAAATGGATTCAAGAGTACTCTATGGACCATGTTTAGTGGTCCTGCTGACTCCTAGAGCCAAATTCAGGGTCACTGGTAGTGCTCTTGGACAGCGAGGGCAGAACTGGAAAGATGGAGAGTTCAGACTTGGAGTCAGGCCAACCAGGCAGGGAGAGGCTAGCAAAGCTGGCTGCCAGGAACTGAGGGCTGTGATGGCACCACTGACTATCCTGGATATCTCCCTCGCACCAAAGCACTTAACATGGACTATAAACCAACACACAAACAAACAAACAGACGCACACACCATTCGAATAAACACGCGGACGTCAAGAGATGCGTAGAAAGCTGAAGAACACAGGCAGGAGGAGAGCATCACTCAGAGACCCATTAACCCCTGGCTCCCAACCAGAACAGTGAGCAGGCGTCCTTTAAGTACATGTTAAACATAGCTGGTCTACGTGTGTGTGCACAAGTGATTTATGTATTCCTTCTGCATGTTCATGTGTGTGCACGCATATACGTCCACGAAAACAACGTTTCGGTTCAAAAGAAGACTTGGGGCCAGTTTTCAGAGGATGAAAACGATAGGTGGTCTTGTATTTATGAATGAGGGGCACAGCAAACTACCAACGGCTATTTAACCCTTCAGACTAGTTGTTTTGGTGAGAGAAAGTGTTCGTAGGACTACTTCCTTGTGCAGAGAAGTGCATCCCCAGGAGAGGAGCTCCAGACTAAACACTCTGTTCATTCAGCTGCTCCCCGTCACCCCACCGACAAGAGACGGATGCCTGACAAGCACTCCCAACAGAAAACCTCACTTTTTCCACCAATTATAGAGAGCAATGCGGAGTGGGGGAGGAGGCAAAACTTCAAAATATTATACACACTGGCATTTGGCGCAGCGCATTGAGCAACCTCTGTCAGAGAGAGATGGGCTAATTTCAGGGAGACCTGCGCCAACACAAACAACTGTTCTGGCTAGCTTTCATTGTCAGCACTTGAGGTTTGAGTCGAATTTTTCAACGCTCCGCAGCCAATTTCTCTTTCCCCTATTTTTCCCCCCATATGATTTGTCCTTGTCCAAGATCCCAGTCAGTCTTTCATCGCCTACACAGTCAGAGCTTAAAAGTATTCTGGTAGAGAACAAACTCAGATCCAGATGCTCATCTACATACACAAACAAAAATAGAGAATAGTTTTTTCTTGCAGGACACTAGTATTTGTCTACATGAGCTCATGTACACATCTACACAGACTTATTGAAGTTATAATGCAGGCCTGACTTTGAGGTGTGGTGTGTTTTGACGTGTGCACTTCTTCAGGTTATATCCATCAGCTGGTGCAGGGACAGCATGAGGCAGTGGGAGTTCACCAGCTACTGCTTTGGTCTCTGGGTGCTGTGCGCTGGGATTCATATCACAGCCATGTCAATGTAAACATCATATGTTTCTGTTTGTGTCTCCAAAGCAGTATTTACTTCTGCTTTGATTTTGTTTATTAAAGGCTTTTACTGTTCAACATAAAAGCAAGGAGCCATGGCAGGACATTTGGAGCACAGGCTGTAGTGTTACATTCACCGTCTACTCATAATTCTTACAGCTCACGCACAGTTCTGGGTACGTGCCAGTCAATGAGATGGGCAGCACTATAGTGCCATTATAGAAACCTCACACAGTGGGGGTCATATCCTCTGTGGCAAATCCTACACACCTTTGCACATCAGGGGAGGAGCCCTCGGATATGTATGTGTGGAGGGGTGGATGCTGAGGTGGAAGCTGAATGGGCACTTTTGGAGGCCCCTGTTGCCTGAACATGCAGCCTTTACTCCGCTTCAGTATCGAGGCATCTGTCTTTAATATAAGAGCTCAGCTCAACCCATATTTATTCAGGTACAGCTGACGGAGAGGGAGAGACAGTGAAAGAGGCGTGGCCTTTCTTTTTCCTGGCAGCCGTGCAGCGCTCCTGCGGTTTTTTGGGGGGCAAAGGGACAAGGCGAAAAAGACACAGACACTGAGACTGAGGGAGAGGGAGTGTGGTACAGAAGAAAAGAGCAAGTTGACATAAAAAGCATGGCTCCAGTCAGTCCTGTGTTGACTGGACATCCTGTGCAAGAGACGAGCCCTGGAGGCCCCGAGGCCACCAGGGAGGGGGTGTGTGAGCTCAACTCTCCCGTCTCACTTGATGGCTGTGTCCAAGACAAATCACCAGTGGTGCTGCTGTCACCGTGGGCCCTGACCAAGACAAACAGCCATGTTTTAAAATAAGTACCTGGGCCCTCACAGCCCCTTGCACCTCATCCACACTCAGGCACATCCATATCTCCTCACACGTTCAAGCGTATTCCCTTCACAGGTCATAGGATTGGAGCTGTACGTAGTCCAACCCTCTACACAGGGGACTCACTTTTCACTCTCTCAATGCTGTCTGCTCTGCACACACACTTGTGAATATTTACCACATCACACAAGTTCCATTGTGGCCAAAATGCTGGGACTGCAATAACAAGGGTGAGTATGAGTGTGTATGACACAAAACCTACAGCAGATTTAAAGGACACTATGTGTGTCTGTGTGTGTCTGTGTGTGTGTGTGTGTGTGTCTGTGTCTGTGTGTGTGCGTGTGTGTCTGTGTGTGTGTGTGTGTGTGTGTGTGTGTTTATGTGCATGTGCGTGTGTGTGTGTGTTTATGTGTATATGAAAGCTTGATCGTCTATGTATATCACAAAACCTCAAACTTAGCTGAATCACAAACTGCCAACTGCGCAGAAGTGTCAGCACTATTCTTTGCTTTTACTTAACAGCACGGTGCATCTTGGGACTTGTGGTTTGTCTGAACGGGCCTGTCTGTGTCGCTGCCTGCAGCCTGCACCAAAGGGACTGGTGTTCCTCACTGAACAGAGCCTCATTTATCTCTGTGGCAGAGTCCTTCCTCTCCAGCATCGGTCCTCCTGGACCCTTGAACTGCTGACACTGGGGGGCCCCTCCTCTTCCTCCCTCCTCTGAGCTTCAGCATGCGGCAAAAATTGTGAGATGTGTTTCATCTGCATATTGATTAGCCTGGCCAAAAGAAGTAGGACCTCAGCACTTCACTGAATACATAATGTAAATAAGTGCCAGTTATTCAGCTTAAACTCTCCTGAAATGTTTCACCTTAAGTAGGAGCTTTTGCAGGTAATTAGGTAAATGTGATTGCGCAACAAAAGTCAATAGCAACTTTTATCTTAAGAATAAAGTGCAGTGAAACTAGAAATCCCTTCCCCTAAACATGCTGACATTATGTTCAGATATGCACCTCTCAGCCAAATGAAGGTTACTGTCAGGATGAAGCAGCGCTCAAAGTCAACGAGCTCGCCCAAAAAGGATGTGACCCCGTTTTGCTTCTGTCACCCAATAAAAGCCGGCCGCTCTCAGTGTGTGGGCAGGCTTTAGTGCCAGCCAGTGGCAGCGCAGACGGCTGGGCGCTGGGTTGTCTGATGGATAGCTTACATTCGGTGAGGACTGGACCAATGGCGTCGTGGATTGATTGGCCCAAAGGGGCCGTCGGGGAAAGCGCTTCCTGTGTGTGTTAATGGACGCTCCTGCAGATGCACTGTGGCGGCTTGTGGCAGGGTGATGGTTGTTACTCCCTCTCTCTCTCTATCCCAGCCTTCCTCCCTCCCTCACATTTTGCTTTCACTCTTCCAGTTAATCAGAGGAGAGTCAAGTGAAATGAACCAGGCTTCCCATACAGACCAAGTCTCTAGCAGCTCTCTAACGCTACACCTACGACCAAAATGAATCACATATACTTTACCTGCCCCATAGTTTCCTTGATATGGAGCTGTACATTGATGGGGAGGTCCCTGGAAAGAATCTTTTAATTTATTGGTTTTATTTTAACTTAGTAGCAATTATAAGCAAATGAGTTCCAATTATAATTAGTTCATACATATATTTGATTCCATTATAATTCAGTACACAGTAGGTCAGCTGAACATTCATTTGGTATCTACCTGGGTATAAATGGAGGTGTTCTTTAAGGAAGTTTCACTGGAAATAAACAATGGAAATGTCAACTAACTTGAAATTCGTTCCAGGGAACTTCCAAAGAACTCAGAAGGAAAAAAAAATAACACCTGATTTTATTGTATTTTTTCTATTACTCAACATGGCAACTGTACTCTGGTAAATTAATATCCACAGCAAGTGACAGCAGCTGACAAGCAGACAAGATTGAGTGAATAAGTTTGTACCCGAGTCTGCCCAGCTGCTCCAGTTCAGGCACCGGGGGTCCGTAGGTTTCAACCTGAAGGGGGTTGTAGCGGTACAGAACCTCCTCTATCCTGGGCACAGGCTGGAGAGACACTGTTTGACGCTGAAAGAAAAAAACAGACAATACATTCAACACAAGACAATAATTGCCATTGTCTCTGTGCAGTGCAATACTGGAAACTATGGTCATGGCACAACAGTAAAAAAAACAATTTGGATTAGGCTTAATGTCAATCAAACTGCAGCATTACCAACCCCCGGTTCTTGAAAGACTGGTTTGGAAATAGGAGTTTTGTTTTACAGCATTTTTCATTTTCCCTGGGCACTGCTGGTTTGGTGGAGAAACTCGACTGTGACAATGACTGAGCGTGTTTTTAGTGGTTCACATACTGTTGGCAATTCAGCAACTATTCCTAATGAAAATCTGACCAAGAGGAAATGAATGTTAATATCATACAAGAGCGCTGTGGTTTGGTTGATGAGGAAATGTAATTCTTGGTAACAAAGCAAATTCAGTTTGGATCAAAAATTGTTATTGGCTATTTCCACGAAACCACCAAAAAACAAATCCAACTGATAGCGCGTAAACGCCGAGCGTAGGATCTGCTGTGGGTTTAGCTGTTGTTACTTGTCGTTTCCATTGTCCTCCCATGGCTTTACCAAAGCAAGTTCCAACCAACTCCGCATGAATCTGAATGTCAGAGAAATGAGGCAACTACTTAGGATTGTTCAACAAACAAATGCTACCCTGCTGCATCTCCTACAGTCATAAAACCTGCAATGTCAAGCATTATAAACTGTAGTCTGTTCTATAAAAGCCTTCAGTCGATAATTACTCAAAGCTGAGATTTCAGTCAGGCTACTCCAGTTCCTAATGCTCTTGACCATTGTGATTGAGTGAGAAATATGAGACTTCTTAAGGACACTGTAGAATTGTTCGATTTGGGGCTCTGCCATCAAAGGGGAATTTCCACACAGCGTCAGACCACTCTGTTTTCTCCAGCATTAAAGTAATGAGACTCAGAAGACAAGCCAGACTCATGAAACAAACCTGGAATTAAAAAGATGATGTTTAAACAAACACGGACTATTTTGGAGAGTAGCAAAGGAACTCGGAGACAAAGGGGAGATAAAAAGATAAGAGGGAAAGCAAAGAAAAAAAGTGGGGGAGTATAAACAACAGAGCACAGAGGGGAGCTGATGAAAACCAAACTAAACGAATAACATGTGCCCTGCGGCCTCAGACTGCCCGCCCTCACACATGCTTTGGCCCATGCGAGCACACACACAGGGAAATAAAGAAACCAAAGCAAAGCTGGAAGTTACAAAAGCACCAAAGAGATGCACACTGAGATGGCAATGGATGCGACGTTTCTTAGCCAAACACAACAGGGTGTTATTGTCAGGTCAGGGTGCAGAATAGTTGGAGAGACAAAACAAAAAGAAAACTATACACTTAAACAGATATGTATCGTCAGTATGTAATGCTATGAGTAACACAATCCAGGATTTTGTGATTAAAACGTGTAACTCGCTCATGTACTGTTGTTTCCATTTCCTCGGGACGTACATTCGGCTATTGTCGGCAATGCTGCAAATTAGTGGTCGAATATTTATCTTTACGTGACTTTAGCATCAATTTGTCGAAGCACTTTGAAATGTCAGGTGTTTCATTCACTGTAGCAGCTAAAAAAACGCATTCCTGATTGAGAATTTTATTCATAAGTTCTACAGATGTTACAGGATTTTGTCCATATCGCCCGATTCTTTTTCGCAGAATGACTTTCCACGATCTGAACGGAGCGAGTCTGAACCTGTTGCATTCGGCAGTGGTTTATACATGTGGGCGGGGGTGGGGGGGAGCAGCAGGGATAGGGACAGTGGCAGCACATTAACAGCGATAGAGTGGGTTTTTCCACTGAAGAAATAATGAAAGTTGAACGTCTACTCAGAGCCCGACATGTCTTTTGGCTGCACTGCCTGATGCTCGTGATTCTGCTACCGCAGAAACAACAGGTACTGCTGTCTGCTTCTATCACTGAGCTCATTTTGTGAGATAAATCAAAGTACATCAGACACATGAAACCTGGTCTCCTTGACTGTGAGGGCAAAATACTAAGAAAAAAATACAACACCCAATAAATTCTGGGTATGGTGCAGATGGTATTTTAGCCCATGTCTGCATTCCCAGTTTTCAAGCGCAGTTTCGGTACCTCAAAGTGGGCTGTTGGATATTCCTTTTCAAACACGAGACATACACTTTTCTATGGTTTTCACTCAACCTTTAACCCAAAGGTGCCAGTGATTCGTTATTCCGTCCCATCCATTCATCCAACACAGAGGAGCCCCACCACAGGCTAATGAAACCCAGACCAGCAAGCCCAGTCCCAGTCACTCTCCCTCTCTTTCGCACTCCTTCAGTCTCTCCATCCATCTTCTTTCAGACTTTCAGCACTGTTTAACTCCCCTACTGCGCCAGTCAAAGAGATGCACTAAAACCAACGGGTGGAGGGGAGAAGCGGCAAAAAAAAAAAAAAGAAGTCCACACTGGTAGAGAAAGAGAGCGGGCAAATTGGGAGTTGCAGATGGCTGAAGTGCAGTAAATCAGATTTTTAAGTGACAGACAGAGCAGACCCAACCCCCAGTGTGGAGAAATTTCTGTTGCATTCCTCTGCAAGGGCACCTTCAAAACTGGCATAGAGACATCGCCACGAACAAACACGGCGTGAAACATGTTTACACAAAAGCACGGTCTGCGTGTCTCGGTGTATTTAAATATTTGTGGACATTAATTTAATTTGTAGTACATCTAAACTGCTTGCTGGAAGCCAAGCTGCCTGACTGCCCGTGACGCAGAGCTCTGCCCTCCACTACACACGATACTACTGCTGAAACTTTCACTCATGAACTCATCACCTGCTATTAAAAGCTTGTATGAATTACGAATATGAATGCTGTTTTCCAAATGCTCCAACGAAAGGGAGCAACAGAAGGAGAGAGCGAGGACCCCAAGCCAGGTCCAGCAGAGCAGAAATGGCTAAAGGACTAGGGGCCATTGAACATCAGCACTGAAGGAGCCAATACAAACATCTGCTTTTGTCATCATGGAGGCCCTTTCTCCTACCTATACAACGTTGTGTGTATTACAAGTTTGTGTATGTAACTGGTATTTAAGACTCTTATAATGCCCCTGTGGCACTAAAGTGAAACTCTGGGGGCCATCAATCTTAATAAAACCGCAGGGGAGGGTGATGTGAGGAAATCACCATAGTGCCAGTGGGAGTAGTCCTACTTCTCCCGTATTTGTGCCTTTTACCTCAGGTTCAGATAGAGTTATAGTGATCTTGGTAACGCCAGCATCCATTTCTAGGCGTGGAACTGCATTACAAGGTCAAGTAAAGCTGTCACAGTTGTCTATCCTCCAGCTGGAGAAGGTGACAGGTGTGCTGGCTCGGAAAACTGCTCTACGCTTCTTGAGTTGAATTCAGCTTGTGATGTACCCTCACGTTATTCTCTCTTAACTCCGCTGTCCGTCTGAGCAGTACCAGCTGGGAAAGCAAAAGGTTTCGCGCATCTGACAAAGTGGTATGGCAGACATTCATGTAACTTTTACGGGACAGGGGTCTCATAAAAGTCACATTACTTTTAAGGTATGACCGGTCGGTCCCTGGGGCATAACACTGACTGGACTGAATTAAAAACAAGGGATGGTTCTCTCTTTGCCAAAGGTGTATCTGTACCAATTCATCTGGCAAGCTGGGTTTTTGGGGGTTTTTTTTCAATTAAAAAAACTTTTCTAGATGTTGGCAGATGATGTTATTTTATCAACAGCTCAAATTGTGAGTCACTGTTTAGAAAGCCAAAGAAAAAACATGCTACACACACCCACACACACTCACACACACTCACACACAAACGCAAACACACAACACAGCACAATCATCAGCACTCTCTTGGCCCCCCATCTCTCCCCTGACTATGCAGCTCAGCAGGACGCACCAAGGTTGTAGGGACTAACCTCTCCATCAGCACCTCCCCACCTCACCCACACACACACACACACACACATAAAACTACATATATTCACTTGGTTCCCGGAGGGTTTGGGGAGCCACAGCTCCAGAGCCAGTGAGACCCTCTTCACTAATGCACAAAGTGATAATGAGAACAATGGAAAGGGAAACACTGGTCAGCATTGTATAGGGGATAAAAATAATAAGCCTAGTTAGGGGCCAGCCTAGTGCTATCCCGTCCTCGGCTCTCACTTCCACCTTCTCCCCTGGCACTGCCAGTGCTTCTGTATGGATAAAGAGCTTTGGGCTGCTCGCTGGCCCACTGAGCAGCAAGTAGCAAGTGTAAAAACTCCTGCCCACACAGTGCCTCCCCTTGCCTTACAAGTTTAAATATAACTGCCTGACCAGTGGCAGCTGCCCCAGCGCAAAGCCCCTAAAGCTGACAACTCCTTTTTCCGCTGGGCTGGGCTCGGCCGGCCCGTGGGCAAGGGTTGCTGAGGCCAACCTAAACAGGGCCAACCAGGGGCAGTGGCAGAGGTGTGAATGCCCACATGTGCTGGTGCCAATCAGGCCTGATGGTTCTCCTTACCCCTTGAGGTGACCCCCTCTCCCACAGCCCCCTACGGCTATCAACCTGCATGCCAGCAATCCAATAAAAAGACAAAGGCCAAAGTGCAAGGGTTGTGCACTCTCCCACATAAAACCTACCTGTTGTGGTTTGTGAATGCTGTAAATGTCAAAATTTTAAAAGGATAAACAACAAAACAAATGTCTGTTGATATTTTTCTAAGGAGCGTTTACAGGGAATATGAGGATAACACTGAAAAGAATGAGTGGGGGTTGCACTGAGTATATAGCGACAAGCTCTCAGGCAAAACAGGTTAGGCCAGTCTGCCAGAGTAAAGTAAAGCAGCGCTTGCCCTGCACTGACGAGTACGTCTACTGAGCAGAGGTCACTGTAGAGGACAACTTAACCAAGTAAAACAGGCCTGAGCAAACAAGCTCACAGTATGTCTGTTTGTGTGTGTACTTGTGTTTGTGTTTTCTATGGTAGTCAAATTCCACGGCCTAAGTGTAGAATGGACTAAAGCCAGAGAGAACCCGGGGTTATTTCAGCCGACTACACATCTATGTTTAGGGATAAACTTTCCACCCACATTTGGCTGATTGTGTGTGTGAGTTGCACTTTGTTTATGTGTGCGCTTGCCTCCTGCTTTCATTAGGTGCCCATGCCGGCCTCGTCAGGTATGTCAGCTGCTCTGCCGCCTGTGACTAGTGGATTGGGCCCCAGCAGTGCTGGAGCCTGGGACCTTTCATTTAAGATGGCGCTGAAAGCTGCCCCAAGGTGGAGAGATTCCCCATCGGTCAAATGCTTTCAGGAATGGGACACTGTAGCAGCTGAGAACAAACCCCAAACTGCACACACATCCCTCTGAGACCAGAAAACACAATAACTGTACTGGCACAAACACAGCCGACATCCTTGAATACAATCAGAAACAAAAAATACATACCGGTAGCTTCTTTTGTGCTTAAACTAAAAGTAATACATGTGCTAATTATCCTGAAGTCATATTTATGTTTTGCTCAAAGCAGGTGCCGAGCACGGTGACTCTAGTCATGGTGACTCTTGTCATCATGCTTGGCACTGGGGCTGCTCTTATGTGTCAGACAACAACAAGCAACCTGTTTAAACAGTGAATAGTCGCCTCCCTCCCACACAGAGCGTCTCTTTTGATATCATCCATTTTAAAAAGACACTTTATTCTTCAAAGGATGTTTACTCAGACTGGGTAAGGGGGTGTGTGTTTTAGTGTGTGTGCATGCACCTGCACACGGGTATGTGTGTCTCTTGGTTCAATAGATTGCCTACAAAGTGAAGAATTAGCGAGTGATTCCCAACCATTCCTGAGGCAAGACCAGGCCCATCCCACCTCACATCACACCTGGACTAAGACTACTTTCCCTCAGGATTGGCGAACTTCCTCAGACATCCACTTGACAGAGACGTTAACACACAACCAGAAAGATCAGGGTCAGGGTTGGAGTCCCCTTCACCAACTCCGAGAAAATCACCCTGGCAAAGAGCAGTGCCAGCATGGCTGAAATGTCCCCTTACATGTTCCCAGTAGATAACATATCACAACTACATGCAACATTAGATCACTCTTTAAATAAAGTCTGGAACGGTTGGAAAGCTGAGGAAGAATTGGCATCCTCAAGTTCCATGGATTGGACGGCTCAAAGACAGGCAGATATGTCATTCCAACGGTGACGGCTCACCTTGGCCCGGGGTGAAGCAGCCAGCTGAAGTGCTGTGAGGCCACAGTGGGTGTGGGTATTAGGGGGCTGGGGTGCCACAGATTTCTGCTTCTGACTGTTGAACTTGCACATTAACAACAAGCATCCAGATGGAAAACCAAGAGCTTAAAATCAGCCCCAGGTCCATTTATCACTGTCACAATCAAACGGTTTTCTATTTGTGAAAGTACTTCACAACAAACACTCGGGCTTTAACTAATGATTACTTTATTAATTATTATTTCTAAATAGCTAATGCAAATTAGATTCTGTTTACAATTATAAAAAGGGCCAAAGGAAGCTGAGCCATTTTTGCTTGGTAGTGTCTTAAATGACTCTATAGTACAGCACAAAATGAAATCGCTGTTACTGAAGACATTGACACAAATCAGTTTTGCTATAAAGAAATAAAATACAAATGTAGCCCAGCTTTTAAAGTGTGTTTTTACATTTGCCTCCCCTAATTTCTGCTGAAGAAAAACTTAAAACACTTCTCGGAGCAAGGGACCACAACCAGATAAATGAATTCCAGCTATCTGCAGGAATCTACCGCTCTGTGCTGAAACTCCACCAAGTCAAACAGAAGTCATTCTTATGGACTCTGAGGTGAAGGGAAATCCAAACCCACACGCTCCCTTGACTCAAGTCTCTCAGTCCAATGCAGCAGATGCATGGTGAGAGCTCTGCTCCACCAACAGGAGCTCGGGGATGGGAAGATGAAGAGAAATGCGAAGAAAGAGGCAAGGAAAAACAGCCACAGAAGAAGCCAAGAGCAACAAAATCATGCTGTTTCTCTCTCCATCAGCAAGTTTAACTTCACACTGAATATCAAGGGGGTGAAAGTCAGAGTACCACATTCCCCGTTTGAATCAATTCAGTGCTTCTCTAGCGGTGGTGTATGAGGCAGTTACTTCTTAAAGAGTTTAGTTATACCTGAGTTTTTAAAAACCTAGCTCCGGCCTGAGTTTAGGTGAGTTCAGATATCTCTCCCACGCACCACTGAACTGTGGGAAGACAACCATATCTCATGAGGGTTGGTGTGGAGGGGGTGGGGGTTGATGACACAGCCTATCTCATCACAGTAAAATGAAAATAAACGACTGAAAACCTGAACGACAGCCAAGTGGAAGGTCTCTCCAGACACGGTGTGCACAAAGCTGAAAGCACAGAGCGGCCAAAGCCCTGAGCCCACATGCTCCCTCTCTGTGGGACCCACCACTCGCCCAGAGGAATGTGATGACTGAAGGGGTGAGGGCCTGTTCCCACACTGAAGAAGAACCAGACGCGCAGGAACATCCTCCTTTTGAAGGTGCTGGACTGTTATCACCACTCTATTGTCAACAAGCACTCCACATAAAGTTTAATTTTGCACTGAACTAATAATCACGCCATGACCTTAACTGTACGGATCCACCTTAGTACCAGTGGACAGAGGTTTACAACTATGTGACCTTAACCTGCATGGACTCATGGGTAGCTATATGAGCCAGTTGTTATTTATAGTCAGTATTATTCCTTCTTTAAGCCACATGTTTCACTGTCCTCATGCTGCTTTCATTTGAAGCAGTCGGGTGAGTGCATGCAAATAAGCAAGCAGCCTTGGGGCAGGGGTACGCACAAAAAGGTCCTTGTTTTGGACGTGTTGAGCAGCCATTATGGATGACAATAATGCTGTGATCAGCCACAATTAAAAGCCTGGTGGAAAGCTAGCTGCAGGTCATGACAGTGAATGACTATCCAGGTCTCTATGATAAACACTTAGGACCCACATTTGAAAACACAAAAAAACCAACTGCACAATCTGAGCATTTCAATCACAGACTCAACAACAAACACATCCGCGTCCCCAGTGAAGGAGAGCTGGAGAGCCTGTGGTGTTACACTTACCATTTGGATTCCAGTTGAAAATAGATTGGTAGGCTTCACAGCCTGTTTCTGCTGCTCTATCTGGGTCTCCAGCTGAGCAGCGCGGACCTTGTGTTGGGCAAGTAAGATGGTGGCAGGAAGCTGAGACTGCTCCTGGGGAAACAAATGGGATTGGAGATTTCTTGTGAGAATGTTAACTAGGTGTGTGATACATGCAATAAGGTGAGTCGTTTGGAACTTTCTGCTCAGCAAAAATAGCTGACACTTGCACACGTTGAGAAGAGATGAAAACACCAGCAGCCACCCCAGCCCCCACCCCCATCCTCCAGACATCTCTGTGTCACTGGATAACAATCAGCATAGGGTGCTTTCAGGCTACCTGCCATATTACTGAAGCAAGCCATATTAGCAAAACTGTGGCACTGCGGGGGACGCTGCTTCAAGTGCATTGCACCGCCTTCACCTCCATTAAATGCAAGGTCGGACGTTTCAATTTCTTCAGTGGAGTGTTGCCAAGCAGAGAGTCTCAGAACGCAAGCTTGGACACATTGTTCACTGAGGAGGTAGGACACTTTTGATGGAGTGGACGGCAGTGGTCGGACAGTCTAGACGTTTTTTAGCATTTAGCAAAATAACAAGAGCAATTTAATGGCTTCGAGCACTAATACGTCCTGGTCTGATTGCAAGAATGACACATTGTGAGTGTGAATGTAGTTGCTTTACTTGGATGACCCGCACAGTTAGCATACGTCTCATTTAACAAAGATCCTCGCAGACGATGCTCAAAAATTCAAGAATAAAATATAACTGCAGATAAACAGTGTGAATTCAAAGTATGCCGTTCTAATCTTTAATTAGAAAACAACTAATCATCAATTGCATTCCAAGTTCTCCGTGATGTGTTTTACTGATTAGTTAGCCACTGCTCCAGGAAACAGCAACATACAATCATGCAATGTGTTAATTTGTGTGCGTGTGCACATGCGAGAGCAGCAAGATTTCTGGCCACAGGGACGTACAGATGTCAGAGCTCAGGAGAGTTCCCCCTGGGGGGTGAGAGCTGATCTCATCTGCCTACAGTCAACAGGCCCTGTGCCTTAAACAAACAAACACACAGCTTAGCCTGCTATCTGTGATGGTCCTTCAGCAGCCCGCTCTGCAGGAACAATAACTTCCAAAGCCCACAGCTCAACACAATGGAGCCAATAGGCTTTGGAATCACAGAATGAGAACAATGCAGCCCGCAGCACAATGACTGGTAATAAGCTCTTAATGATCTCATAGCCATGAACCCTCAGGCTGAGTGTGTGTCTATGTGTGTGTCGAAGCATTTGTGCCAGACATGGAACATCTGTCATAATGTGATTTGGTCTCTGCTCGTCTTTTTGCATCACTTGACGCGTCATTCAACGCACATACGTACATGCAACAAGCGTGCAACTCACCAGTTCGTCCAGCAGAGCCTGTTTGTTCTTCTTCTTGGCCTGTAGTTGTCTTTGCTCCTCCTGCAGCACTTCTAGTCTCCGCTGCTCATTGCCCTGCTGCTCCAGCAACAGCAGCTCCTCCAGCTCTTCTTGTTCTCGCGTCTGAGTAGGAGAGAGAAACAGGACGCTGCAAAAAATCCTTCACATCACTCGCCACGAGGCTGAGAAAGTTCTAGTCATGTCATAATTCACTCAACCCAAAAATCTGACCTCTCAGAGAAGAGAACCAAGCATAAAGAATCAAATCTTTATTTTAGCAGTCATTATTTGTGAAGGTATTATGCATGTAAGGGCAAATACACTTAAAAGTACATACGAGCTTCGCCTTGTTCTTCTGGATGATATCTCGGTTCTCTCTCTGGTACTGCTCCATCCTCAGCTTGGTGTTCTCCACATCAATGTTGTTTGTCAGGTTATACACTCCATGGAGAAAACATAAACCACTGTTAACCTCTTCAACCCAACAGATCCACCAACCTGAGCTCCATCATTATGCACAGGATGATCAGAATTAAAAAAAAAACTGCATCTGGTATTTCAATATATGTCTTCACCTAAGCCCTTGACAACCATTTGTTTTTACTAAAATAAGGTTTCTAAACATTTTGCTCATTGCGCCTCCATAAATGACAAACAAGAAGCTTTGCTGTCTGTGTACATATATTACAAAGTTAGGACCCACTGCTGCTGCTGTTGTGCTGGTATCTTACAATGGTTGACACTGTTTGAATCGTGAGGCTTTCAAGTGATGTATAATTTCATTCAGAATGGGCCGACAGCTTTTAAAAGGCAGCAGCAGAATTTTCATTTAGTCCACATTTAAGCTAGTGAACATTAAAGGGTTAAGTGATCGATTTTTGTAAGAAGCACTGGAATTAGCAGATGCATATAATAGAGCCACAGATGGGGGACAACTTAAAAGGAAAACTTGAACCCTTGGTGCTCACAGTGACTCTGTTACACCGTGGGGGGTATTATGCAGGCACAGTTTTGGTCCACTTGCCCCCTTAGAGGGAAAGGTCACTACGAACCACTGGGGTCACCGAGTGGATGGATAAGTATGAAGGTTTTTGTGAAACATATGGCGATGGCCTTCACAATCCCCAGATCTTAACCCAACTGAACACCTTCCGGAGAGTTTTGGCTCAACAAGTTGGACAGCCCTTTCCATTATTATCAAAACATAAAAAGGGGGAATATCTTTAGGATGGATGGTGTTTGTCCTTCCAGTCGAGTTCCACAGACTCAGAGATTCAATGTCAAGAAACACTAAAGCTGCTCTGGTGGCCTAACATCGAACCTAAATGCTGTGTTTTCCTTTAATCTGTCACCCATCTGTGCATGGTGGTACTTAAAACTGTGAAAAAACAAAAGTTCAGTTCTAGGTTCCCATTCAAAAGTTTTACAGATGTCTCTTTAATATTGGTGTTCAATAACAAAAACTGCTCTGGAAGCACAGCAGCAGTAGCAGCACAGTTGGTCACTGGGGCAAATTAGCAGCAAGGCTGACTGGCCACAACACATCCAGCTCTCCTAATACATCCCATGCTAAATGGCCAGGGTGGGCTGCCAGTCAAGATGTGTTAACATTGGCAGAGCTATTCCCTAATCCATGCCCCTGGCTGGCACTAATGCCTGTAAAACACCACCAGAGTCAAGGAGAAATCATTAGGCTAGTTTCAGCATGACGCATCCAAGCCGTTGCCCCTACCTATGTCCTCCACTTGCTCCAGATAATCGTTATATTCTCTCAGGCTGGGGAAGTCAAAATCTCTCTTGTTGTAACTGCAGAAGGAAGAAGAGAACTGATGATGCAAATAGTAAAACCTGATGAAAGCAAATATGCACTGACATTAATAGACTCCATTAAATCAACCATTTTATAATACCATGTCTGCACACTGCCTAATAGACACACATTAGATGTCAATTAAGGGGCTATTAAAAAACAGATAAGAGGGAGAGAAAGAAGGCAGGGAGGGGCTGAGAAGTAAAAACCTGGCAGAGAAAGAGCCTTCCCGTTTGAGCCCCCCCTGGGGAGACTCATTGTCTACAAAACAAACAGTGTAATGAGAAAGACAAAGGTAGCTTAAGAAGTGGGAGGAGGCAGGATGACACATAAACACGCAGGACCTCGCCCTCATCACGGTCCCCCCTCACTCACATCTTCAGCACCTTCTTGCGAATCTCCACCTCCTTGTCTACGGTCGGGTCTTCGAAGAGCTGCACGCGAAAGTTGCTCTTCCGCAGGGGCGTGTCGCACTGCACGCAGTTGCCCGAGCCGCGCACGAACAGCATCTCCACGCAGTTCTCGCATCTGAAGATGACAACAGAGCAGAAATTAGCCGTCCAAGCCGAGCTGTTTCCAGAGGTCATCCTCCTCAGGCAGCCTCTGGGAGTCAGCTGTAAGTGAGTGCGTGTGTGTGGGCGTATGTGGCTGCTGAAATACAATTTTCCTCCGAGTAAAGCAAATTTGTGTTGCTTCTTTTTTTTTTTTAATGTCTGTAAGCCATCATCAGGCGCAATGGGTGATAATGGGGCACATGAATATTTCCTCTGAGTGCTCAAAGATGGCTGGGATTATGATTGGAATGTCGATTAGGCTGCCTCCCACTCTCAGACAAGAGGAAATTAGTCTGACACCCCATCAGTGGAGTGTCTGTCTGCACTGGAAAAACATTTGCTTTATTGTTATTTCAACAGACCTCAGTCATTCTGCCACGTTGCATAATATGATAAAATCCAGCTCAGTAATTCACTGCGTAGTCTATCATTATAAGAATGGACTGAGTCTTACGTAATTCAGGAAAGGCATGGAAATGGACAACTGCAGTGTTTTGACTATTCCGCACTTAAACGGAATCGACATTTGTGCTTAAGGTTTTAGTTTATTCGAAAATTCGGCTTTAACAATTAAAACAAAGCAGCGGTACGTCCACACGCTACGCAACCTTTCTCCCCTTTCTGCCAGGAAATGTCGTTATTATTCCTGACATGGTGCCTTTATGAAAGGAAGCTGTATTATGGAGAGGTTTAAACCACATTTTTAAATACCGTGGCAATCGAGGCACTTATTGATCAAAGCGTTTGCTATAAATCTGTTTAATGGATATGATTACTTTCCAAGACAAAATATGTAGCAGTACAGCACAGTCATGATGAGTTTTTCAGGTGCCCTTTAGCTTTTCTCATATAAGCAAGCATGAATCACCAGCGTGCCTCTCCACACCCGGGAGAAATTCTGACAAAAGGAAGAAATGCTTTTCAGACAATGATGGGGGAATTTGCAGGTAAAGCCCAAGACGGTTTGCTTTTTGCACCATCACGACAAACTCCATGGCAACCAATCAGCAGACCTACCTGAGGGCACAATCCTCAGCTTAGCCATCAATCACACCTTTAAACAGGTAGGCGTTTACCCATCAGTCACACTCAAGTGAGGAGCGGACACAGAAGACAATGGGAATGTTTCTTTATCTCCCCTGATGGGGCGGAGAGCCTGGATAAACGTTTGCACAGTACACTCTTTTAATTAAGTCTCTGTGGAGCTTTATTACCACAGGAATCCACCTTCCTGCTTGTGACCACCTTCACAAAAATGGACATCTGGTTTCCAAATGGCACTACCTGCTTCTGAGCACTGATGGTTTTCATAATAAAATATAGCAAAGCTGCGGGGAAAGAAAGACAGACTTTTCATCGTACGTCACTGATGGTATGGTTGAGTCATTTCTTCCCAAACGTCAAAGACCGAACCCGAGACACTGGTGCCAAGTGAAAAGTTCTCCGGGGATGGAGCCTATTAGAACAATCATGACAGTCATCCTGCGAGACGTTTCACTTCATCAGCAGGATCCAAAGTAGAAAAAAACAGCTAAAGGAGAAACTGCAGAGCGATGGAGTTTGGCTGTTTACACCTAGCGTCTCAGATAAGGGTCAAACAGGCACAACCTGCCAAGTATGACTCCAAGCTTTCACACATGTACGACTCATAAATGAAGCACGAGAGGCGACTATCTTACAAGCATGTCAGCGTAGCTTGGCGTAGATGAAGCGGCAATACAAAAATGAAAGCTGAACGTCACGCGGAAACATCTGCGTTGTCCAGTTGGTGCTTTAGAGAATGAGGAGCCTCTGCTCAAGTGCACCCTGGAAGAGGCAGATGTTCACTGTGGCCCCAGGCTACAGGAGATGTATAGGCCTGGCCATATGGAGGTAGATGGAGGGATTCAGCTTGTTTCCACAGGCCCACAAAGAACCCATTCATCAACACGGGGCGAAGAGTGGGGCGTAGCTTGCCCCCTGCCCCATAAATGGACTACACAACAGTACTCTCCAAAGGGGAAATCCTGTGTAACTCTAGAGCAAAGAGGTGACCGTCTAAAAGGGAGGGAGGAGACTTTTAGAGTCAATTTGCCATCTTTCTTCTGAAGTGTGCCTTCTCTAAATGACAGCTTTCAGACTGTGTGCCTGTTGCAATTTGTAGTCAAAGGGGGTCCCAGAAAATTTCTCGCCAGTGCTCCTCCACTCTACTGAGCATACAGAGCAGACATTTAAGCGAGCAGACAGATCTCGAGCAGCTTGCCATCTCTGTGTCCCAAGGCTGTTGTCACCGCCTGAGTGCTCCTGACTCCTCCCTCTCTCACCTGTCCTGCTCAGAGCTCCAGGCTCCTATCTCTCCCATCTGCAGCTGTCAGCAGGTCAGGGAAGGGGGTGGTAAGAGGAAGGTAAACAGGGTCCTGGCTCAGCAAAGAGACTCTGACACCGCCGCCGCCACCGCCACCACCCTTTGTGACATTGCCTGCATCTTTGCCTTTGTAGAAGAATGAAGCAGCACTACAGACAGGGGTTTGTTTGTTATAATGTACAGGTTTCTGTCATAAAGCTCAGGATGTTCCCAGACCCATCACTGCGTCCAGCAGAGCAGAGCTGCTTTTGTATGAAACCTGCTACGATGATGAGACGTACAACACATGCAGCATCACAGGCAAAAAGTGCTGAAGATCAAATGAATGATTTCTTACACAGGAAGCTCTCTGTGTGAGATCTAAAAAACACACAGACACACAAAAAAACTATGGATTTGTTGCACTTTATAGAAAATCAAAGTGGGCAGAGACACAAGTTCCCAAAGTATTTCCCACACTGTAAATTTGTCTTTAAATACTTTCTTTAGATAACAAAAAACCCAAAACAAAGTACCTGTTAAAATAAAAAAGCTAAATTACAGTAAAATTAACAATACCATGGGAAAATACAATGAAAACAAAAAGATAACATAAGCAACTCGTCTTTTCCACTTTAGTTTCTAAACAGATTAAACAAATAAGTCAGAACTTCATTCATTAAAAGGTGTTAGTAGGAGGGTTAGTAGCAGCCAGGTTAGCTGCTTCTTGTCTTTATGCTAAGTGTGTTTCCAAAACTGTACATCTGTTGTTTTTTTACATTTGTAGGTACACAGTCTTTCTTTATGCTTACATAACCAAGAGCATTTAATCCCCATCCGACTCTTGGAAGTATCAATGGACAAAATGATAACAGCTGTTAGAAACACAGGTGCCCAAAAAAAAACCCAATTCCTGCTTCACTACTGGACATCAACCTACAGCTGTCATTTGTTGGAAATCTAATTCCTACTTAATGAGGTGTGTCTGTCCTGTCGGTCCATGTCCACCCTCTAAAGCCTGCCGTATGTCTGAGCGGCAATTGTTTTTGCCCGTCTGTGCCCAGAGTCAAATGCCAAAGGACATGGGCCCAGTGTCATTGTGCAAAGGTAATAAATAACACACATCAAATGCCGCTGGTGACAGGGATACAAAATGTGCTGCGGTGGAGTTTAAATTTAGATGCATGGAGAAGCTTAATAATGCAATGCACTGCCGGAGGCTGGTCAGACCAGACTGGCACTGACACTCAGCCTGGCTAAAGGAGAGACGGGCTCACAGTTACTGAAACCAGGGGTTGACTGATATGTTTTTCTTCTCTGAGCGATTCTCATTATCACCAATCCGATAATCAATATTTGGAACGGATATACATTTGCAGCAAAAACGTGAAAAATGTTGTGCCAAAATTCAAAGTAACACAAACTCTTAAACAAAGCTTTGTTGAAATTATTTAGTTTGTTTTATGTGTTTGCTTAAAAAGAACTTTCTAATCGTTGTTCCTCAGTGTTGCTGGGCTGCTACCGCCGTGGGAGGGAGGGGAGGTTCGAACCCTCAGAGGAGTGACTAAAGATAGAGAGAGGCAGCTGCATTGGAGCCAATGTAGACTCTAAAAAAAAATCAATATAATAACTACAGATATGGGAACTCTATGCAAATCTGTTTTAAAAAAAAACACAAAAAAAACAGGTGGAAAGTTAGGAGATGGACGAGCATTTCCAGAAGTTTAAAATAGACTCACAAATGCTGTCTAATTTGCAAAAGCACATGTAATACATTTTTTATTTATTTTCTTGCTAGACCTTTATCATACCAAGTTTTGGGAAATCAGACTGTGTACAAGAGTTTTTGTGAACCTTTTGGGGAAAAAAACTAAACAATATCCATCCATCCATTATCTATACACCTTAATCCTCACTAGTGTCGCAGGGGAGCTGGAGTCTATCCCAGCTGACTCACCAATTAACCTCAGCAAGTTTCTGGACTGTGGGAGGAAGCCGGAGAACCCGAAGAGAACCCACGCTGCACCGGGAGAACATGCAAACTCCACACAGAAAGATCCCGGGTGTCCTCACCAGGACGCGAACGAGCGACCTTCTAGCTGCGAGGCAACGATGCTAACCACCGAGACACCTGGCAGCCCCATAAACAATGTCAATAATTGGAAAAAATTTGGATTTGGATCTCATAACCATCCAGGATAACAATCAGTCAACCGCTAAGTTCATGAATAAACCAGTGCAGAGAGTCCACCTAGGCTCAGCTGATGGTTCATTTTGATGAACACTTGAGAAAAATAAGTTTCCCAAAGAACAGAGCGACATCTTCAAGGTTTTCTCCAATCAACAGTCCAAAAGTCAAAGGTACCCACTTTACATTACTTCAAGACGGATAAAAGCAGAAAAGGAAGTGGCTGCAATGAAGCTCTTCCATTTTTGCTTAATGAATGATAATATTTTATGACTTTTGTTATAACATTTCCTTTTATTCTCAGTCATTGTACTCCTGTCTGTCCATTGTGCTCCCACAGCTGCTACATTTTGAACTTTGGTAGCTGTTGAGGTGTTAGTTTCTGTAATTAAGTCTACATGAAACACAATCTTCACGTGTATGTGAGTATTTTCCTCTCAGATCTTTCTTCTTTCTGTCTTACTTTTTCTGAGGAGAGCTGTTGATTACACCAAATGGGAAATCAGTAACTGTGAAATTGAAACATTCTCAAGCTGCAGTACAGGTCTCCAAATCTATCAGCTATTTAGTAGGACTCGCTGCAAACAAAAAAGCCAAATGACATCAGTGATGAAAATACTAATACAGTTTGAGAGTACAGCAGTTTCCAAGTGGTGCATAAATTCACTGTCGCACCGGCTCTGAGGAACGAAATCCAAGGTGACCTGGGCAAGGACATCTCTCCAAATTGCTTCATTGCAGAATCATTTTAATTTTCTGTGTGTAGCCCTGCATCCAGACAGAGGCGGTGAGTTATGAGCTCGCTGACCTGATGACAAAGCACGACCACTTCCTGATGGTACGGTCAATAAACAGACAGGGTCGAAAAAGATGCGCTCATCAGGCTACAGCCGTCACTGCATATTGCTCATAGAGAAGACGTCCCCTTCGTCTAAATGTCCAGGTTTTTTTAACAGATGGAAAAAATGACGTACTAAAAAACTGCACAGCAAAGTACTGAGATGAGGATACTGTTTAGAACTACAGTGCTGAAAACAGATAATCAGAAAGTAAAAATACATTATCATATATACTTGCTGGTAGTTCTTTGTATATGCCATGTAAATTAAATTTTATGATATGGGGGCAGCATGGTGGTGCAGCGGTTAATACTGTCACCTCACAGGAAGAACGTTGCAGGTTCAAACCTGCTCTGAACTGGCAGGGGTCTTTCTGTGTCGGGTCTGCATGTTCTCCCTGAGCCTGGATTGGTTTTCTTCCAAAGATAGGAGTTTAATTAGCGATTCTAAATTCCTAGAAGTGTAACAGTGGTTTGTTCCTTTGGGTTGGTGATGAACTGGTGACCTGCCCAGGGTCCTACGGGGGATACACTCCAGCCCCCCAGAAGTGACCCCTACAAGATACAGCTGGTATAGCTAATGGATGTCTGGATGGATGGGCCTCTGGTAACATGTGAGAGTCATTCTGAAGATATTATTCATATGTATTTATATTGATGTGATCTGTTTCATGCACTATTATGAATCCTATCAAGATTATGGGAAGAACTGCAGCGACTGGTCCATCAAACCAGGCGTACTGAGGAAATAAAAGCCAGTAAAATAAAATTAAAAAAAAGGTTATGTATAAGCATCAAGATGATTATGTTTAGTTATCAATGTGGAAAAAGTTTTGGCTGCATTGTTTAACAGCTTGGACCAGGTTAGGGTCTGAGATTGATTTCTGCCTCTTGTAGGACTTGTACACTGTAAAACATAAAGGAATTTAGTCAAATCATCTCCTCTTTTTTTAGTTTACTTAACGTAAATGAATGAGTTTTGCTAATTAATTGAACTTAAAATGTCTCATTTTTTATTTTCAGATCACTTTACAACTTAAAAACATGCATTCTTATAACTTCAGCCATTGTGACTCACTCGATTTAATTAATTAATTCATGTCATTAGAAAAAAGCTAAGCTAGCATATAAGCAGACTTGAGAAAGCACACAGTGGTGATGTGCGGTGTCTCTTAAATATATGTTAAATTAAGTTCTGGTCGTTCCTTTTCATAAAAACACAATTCTAACTATAACAAAGGCTGAACTCAAATTCCTAACCCTGTAGGCCTGTTTTGTATCTCACTGTGACCCAGAGCAGTCTCACAGATCATCCTTAGACCGACTCTGGCAGTAAGTTCTCGATGCTAAACGAAGAAGAAACTCCTAAACTTAGAAAATGTAAAAGCAAAGCAAGTGTGTCTATAAGGCATCGTCTGTGTGACTAGTTGATTTACCTGCTGGAGGTTTATTGAACTCGTTTACCAAGGTCAGGTAATTTTACTCAGTTTTCATAAGAGGACTTTGAACTAATTAATCGATCCAAATGTACTTAAACCACATTTTAAAGGCAGCATTGGAGCTTACCTGTCTACACTGAATAAACTTTAGGTGACTTACAGTGAAAAACATGCTTCTAGAGTGTATAGTGACTCGATTACGCATTAGGAGATATATTAGTCTTATTATAATGCAGAGCGCTGCAAGGTGGCTCGGTGGTTAGCACCGTCACCTCGCAGCTAGAAGGTTGCCAGTTTGCGTCCCAGTGAGGACACCTGGGATCTGTTGTTTGCCAGTTTGCATGTTCTCTCCATGCATCATGGGTTCTCTCCGGGTTCTCCGGCTTCCTCCCACAGTCCAGAAACATGTTGAGGTTAATTGGTGATTCTAAATTGTCCGTAGGTGTGAATGTGAGTGTGCTTGGTTGTCTGTCTCTAAGTGTGGCCCTGTGATAGACTGGTTACCTGTCCAGGTGAACCTGCCTTCACCCTGAGTCAGCTGGGATAGACTCCAGCCCCCCATGACCCTAGTGAGGATTAAGCGGTGTATAGATAATGGATGGATGGATGGATAATAATGCAGTGCAGCCCTGTAGATCAGATTGTAGCTGGCCCTTTTAAAGATCTCTACATAACTTATACTACACTCCTCATTAGCTGTTCATCTTTTCCAGTCATCTTGAATCTTTTATAGTTTCAGTGAAAGATGAAGTTTAAAAAAACTGTATCTGTGGGATTTAAGCATCTAATTGGACAAAGTAGTATGGGTTTTGTTTTTTGTGGTTTGCTTTTTGGGGGCTCTTTGTCTTTATTTTAGAGCAGTAGAGAGAGACAGGAAAGGGGGGAGAAGAACGGGGAGAGACCTGCAGCAAAGGGTCGTGAGCGGGAATCGAACCCACGACCGAAGGGTCGGGGAACTAAAGCCCCTGTTCATGGGTCGGCTGCTCAACCAGGTTAGCTTATAGTCAGTTAGGTTATATTAAGAGTTAACCGTGTATCAGCAATGTGTAGAAAGACAAACAGCAGTGGAGACCCGCCTCTTAAAGCTACCTGTGATATCCTGTAGGACAGCCAGTCACATTAACAAGACTATTTATGAGCTGATCAAACTTTAGCCACCTTCACTGTGATGAGACTGAGCACAACAAACCGTTAGCCGTTAGCTAGAAGCTCAAAAACACCCAAATATCTCCCATCATGTACGTCAACGTGCAAACTGTACGTTTTGGAGTTTTAAAAAAAAAATTAACACGGTCTGAAAGTGTTTTAAAATGCCATAACCGCTGCTGTGGGGTTTCTTGTGTTGGTGTGTGTCGTTTTTGAACACTTTTGTGTAGAAATGAGGCTCAGTGTAAACACTCACAGCGTGTGTCCGCAGACGTTCACCATCAGCTTCAGCGACGGGTTCCTGTATTTGGTGGTTTTGCATCTCGGACAGCCCTGGTCGTCCATCTCTGCCTCCGCCGCACCAAGAAAGCAGCACACGGTAGAAAAAAATAAATAAATGTCAACAACAAGCAGCTCTCCTGTCACTTTCAAAGCGGCGAACCGCTGCGCCACACAGAATGCGGTCCGACGGGAAACGCCGCTAATAAGAAAGGTTCCTATTTAATGATAACCTCTGCAGCGGCGGTGGTCAACACTGTGGTGCAGGCTCACACAGGGGCCCCCGGGGAGTCCCAGGGGGTCTGAGGTAAAAATAAAGCTGAGTAGTTTATTTTCACACAAAGGTTGCATTCAGAAAGACTTCATGAAATAGCTGTTTTTGATTATAGGTTTCACTGTACTCCCATATATTCCATGATCTAAAGTAAGTCTGAACTGAAACATAATTAAAACCAAAAATCAACCCAGATGTTGTTCCCCAGGGCTTCTGACATCATATAGTCTCTGGTTGAATGTCTGGGGAAAATATTTCATCTAGGAACATATTAGTCAATGTGGTTCATCACCTTTTTTTTAAATGTGTGATAAAGACAGAAAATTACTGTCATTGTAATATGGTGATAAAATAGCATCATTAACTTCAGGGAATTTGGTTGAGCAGTTTAAATTAAATCCAGTCTTTTCAAAGGTTGCAGCTTTAAAGGGAGACACATTTTATCATGATTAAGCCCAGGCTTATTGTATTGATTTATTGACAGTGTGTGAATGCCAGTAACTGTCCAGATGATGTTAGACTCCATTCCCACATTAGACGTAAAATGTTTGCACAAATAAACATAACATATATTTAAAGTCAAGAAATAGCCACAAATGGGAGTTGATGCTGGGAGATTTTGTAGTCAAGTGACATTTGATCTCTGTTCTGCTTATTTAAATGTTCCAACAAGGTAAATGCCAGACTGATGACTTGGCTTGAGTGGCTTCATAAAGGGTGAAAATAAAACTACAGGTAATCACAGAAATGTGAGACATGCTGTCTTAACTGGCCTAAAGTTTTTACATCCATAAAGGTATTGCTATGACTGGATATGAAGGTTTTTTTGTGTGTAGCCTCTGTTTGGTTTGACATTGCTTGGAGTCATCATGTGTTCATTGTGACTTGAAAGTAGGGAAATAAAAGTAAAGATAGGTTCTGCATTTAAAATGTCACTGGGTTGAATAAGCAAAATCCGACAAATCCTGTCTCAAATTTCACTTCATGTTTTGTTATTTAAATTAAAATTGTCAGCATGATTTGAGACGGAGACAAAGACTGGTAATGTTGCCAGGATTATTTTTCCCTCTGGATTTCCACACCTCCATATGGGAATAACAATTCTTTTATGTGCATACCTACAACCAAAGCAGCTCCTGACAATACAGACAACAAGGATATCCCGTTCCCACGATCCCAAAAGCACTCACCTTGCACAGGTGAGCTACGGGAATATACTGGAGGTTATATGACTGACAGCTGGAAACCAAACATTCGTGTCTGAATCCCGCTCGCTCCTCCCTTATGGGGCCCTCAGCGGCCAATAGCGTGGCTCTCCTGCAGATAGACCCCAGTGTGTCTCCCTCCAGCTCCAGTCCCCGCAGAGTAAAAGTCACGTTGGAAGGAAAAGGGGAGAGAGATATCTACTTACAGCTGCTGTCAGATATCCGATCGCATTCGCATGGCGAGGAGGTAACCTGATCGAGCTGGGAGGAGTGACTTTACCAGGGAAGGCTTGAACAAAAAAAAATGTCTTCTTCTTCTGCCGGAGAAGTCACAACAGCTAATGACATCAAGAGGGAAAATGTGAAGGAGGTGGATACGCGGGAGTGCATCAAGCTTGTGGCGCTGGACGCGGCGGAGTTGTCCATGGAGCGCACGACTCCCAACACTGACGCGGTGCGCACGGAGCTGTTGGTGAGCGCCGCTTCCTCTCTGGCTTTCTCCCCGGAGCAAGTGGCGTGTGTCTGCGAGGCATTACAGCAGGGAGGAAATGTGGACCGGCTGGCCAGGTTCCTGTGGTCCCTGCCACAGAGTGACCTGCTCCGCGGCAACGAAAGCATCCTAAAAGCCCAAGCCCTCGTCGCTTTCCACCAGGCGCGGTATCAGGAGCTGTACAGTATTTTGGAGAACCACAGTTTCAGTCCGTCCAACCACACCTTTCTGCAAGATCTGTGGTACAAGGCCCGGTACACCGAGGCGGAGAAGGCGCGGGGGAGACCCCTGGGCGCCGTGGACAAGTACCGAATCCGGAGAAAGTACCCTCTCCCAAGGACTATCTGGGACGGCGAGGAGACTGTTTATTGCTTCAAGGAGAGGTCGCGAAACGCGCTGAAGGATCTGTATAATCAGAATAGGTACCCCTCTCCGGCCGAGAAAAGAAATCTCGCCAAGATAACAGGACTCTCCTTGACCCAAGTCAGCAACTGGTTCAAAAATAGGAGACAGAGAGACAGAAATCCGTCGGAGGCACAATCGAAAAGGTGAGGCAACAAAAGAAACAGACTTTTAAAAATCTCAAATCTCGTTTTTAATGCAACCGTAAAAATATTGTTCGGTGCGTAAAAAGCGCGTCAAAATTAACTCCAACTAACTTAAACAAAAATGTGAAAGTTCTATTAACGGAAGAACTCATTGCCTGTAGTTTACAACCATTTATTTTCAGAATATTCAGTTTATTTCATAATCTCCCACCGAACTCACTTGGAAAACTCGACAAAGTGACTGATTAACTGTTGATAATTAAGAAACAAATTGGTAAAAGGGTTTGGAGCACGCTTTTAATGTTTTGAAATATGAAGCGGTTGCCATTCAGATCTGGTTTCAAGTGTGTTGGTGCAAAGAGGCATGGAAACCATAAGCAACAAAATAACACAGTGACTTAAACTACACACACACTCCACTGATCTGACTGTCAGGCGCGAGAAGTGGGCAACTTTGATGGAATAATTCAAAGGGTGACTTGAAAGGTTACTTTAATTCCTTCTTATCTATTTGCTGTGTGTGTGTGTGTGTGTGTGTGTACGTGTGTGTGTGTGTCCCAGAGCAGCACATAAATCATTTTCATGATCACTTTTTTTTCTCCCTCTCTGACCAAAAAGGATCTCAGAGCTTCCATCAGCTCCTGCGCTTCATTTCATAATCCTCCACACAAACAGACTGAAACGCGAACGCTACTCTTTCATGTTTTCCCTCTGTGTGAACAAAGATGACGCACACCTGGTGGAGGTGACCCCTCTGTCTCTGACACACACACTCACACACACACACACACACACACACACACAAACACACAAACACACACACACACTAGTAGTATGCCTGTAAATTTACTTTTAAACAGTGTTTTAATATGTTTAGGACCTGTGGATTTCTTACGCAAAAAATAGCTTTCCACTTGCATTAAGTCATGTCTTTTTATATTTTCCTGGAAGTGGGGGGTGTAGATGCGTGTGTGTGTGTGTGTGTGTGTGTGAGGGGGAGTTTGGGGGGTGAATGGTGTGCAGCTGTTTTAATCAGTCTTTTAAATAGGAGACTGATAAACAAAATATAGCTGCTCCATTCATATCGGGTTTTTTTCAGTTGTTCCTTCTTGCACACTAAATAGTAAAGGCTTTTAATTGCACAATTTAAATTTTGGGGGGCAAACATAAATAAATACTCTGCGCCATTTGTTCTGTCACGCCATCATTGGCTGGCATTTTGTCACGCCTGAATTTATTGCGCCAAATGGTTGCGCCGTTGTTGACGTTGATTGGTTGATGTCAGTGCAGCTCTCCATGAGGTAAGAGGGCTGCACGGTCACAAACTGCGGCCTGCTCTTCAAAGCTGTGCAATAACACAGCAACAAATGTGACTGTGCCTGCTCTGGGTTACAGGCAAGATGTGGGTGGAAATTAAATAAATGCCATCATAGGAGTTTGTTATCTGTAGTTGTTATGGTGGGTATAGGATGTCTTCCTCCCCCCCTGAAAAGTACACAAATGAAATGAAAACACATTTATAATTTAACTTTAAGTAATTTTCAAGCAATAATTTGCTACAAATGTGTAGTTTTTCTTTTTTGTGTGTATTGTGACACTCAACTTTGTATTTTTTTTCTGTGTGTGTAGTGAATCTGATGGAAACCACAGCACAGAGGATGAGTCCAGTAAAGGCCAGGAGGAGCTGTCGCCTCGTCCTCTCTCAAACTCTTCAGATGGGGTGATCACCCACGGGACCCTTCCCATTCAAACAGGAGCTCTGGACAGTGGGGTGGTCATCCAACAGATCGGGGACATTAAGATGCCCCCTGGATCCAGCAGCGGCGGCCTCTACAACGGAAGTCTAGTGAACAGTAACACATCCTCCACTGTATTTCACAACGGTGGCTCGTCTTACCTGCACTCACCTGGAAACATCCTCTTCAACGGCCTCAACCTGGGCATCCAGCCCCTGGCGTTCAACCCTCTGAGGCCGTCCGGAGGGGTGCTGCTGGGGGGCTCTGGAGTGGACATGCAGATGCAGACGGGGCAGGACAAAGGACTGGGCAGTGCTGAGGAGTCCTCCCTGCAGTATGCCTCCTACTCCGGCTGTGTGAACGGAGCAGAGGTGAAGCTGGAGGGGGTTCACACCATGGCAGCCCAGAACGGAGGCTCCTCTGTGCTGACGTTCAGCTCCCCGTCAGGTGCTCTGCAGCTGGGTGGCTACAGTCTGGTCCAGGTACCAAGTGGAGTCTCTGACAGCGATGGCAGCTCATTACTCAACAGCGATGTAGGTCTTCCTCCCCTGCAGCTCTCCTCTGCCTCTTCTTCCTCAACAATTACACAGCAAGGTGCGTTCAGGAAATCATTTGTTTGTTAACGTTATTCAGTTTTAAAACTTACCAACTCATTTATTCTACATAAGTCTTTTGTCAGTTGAAAAATATCATAAGTTGGAACAGGCAACAATCACAAAGCCAAATATATTTAATTAACAGTTGTGCTTTAATTCCTAATATGAGCTGAGAGACGTCTAATAAAGAAGACGAGGTATTCACTGTTCAATTTACTAATTTAATCAGTTAGATATTTATTTAATTTGCTGTAATGAAATTCTGTCAAGGTTTAGTACTTTAAAACTACAAAAATAGGATCTGCCACTTCATGAGACAAACCAA